TTTGCTGAATGTATCATTTGATCTAATAGAAATGTACTAAAAAAAAAATAAACAAATGTTTGAATTTTTTTTTTTTTTTTTTAATCAAAAAAGAAATTTTAAAATATATACACTAGCTGGACAAAAGTATTTGATCACGTATTTACACTAATTAGTAAAAACCCTACATAACAACATTACACGAAATTTATAACATTATGTGCCTAGATTTTGATAATTATATATTCGAAATTTCACGTTGCTAGCTCTCATATTCATGCATGTATCAAATTTAATAAAAATGTTTTTTTTTCATGATCACCCAAAATTGAAATTATTTATTAATTTTTCATTGACTGCGATTCAGATGTTATCACTATTTTTTTAAATCATTAATTTTCTAGACATGATAGAAATACGAAATTTCATATATTTATTCTTCAAAACAATATCCTTCATTTATAAAATTTACAATTTTTTATCATGTAAATTTTTAAAAAACGTGAAAATATAGCAAATGTTTAAATTTTTTTATTTGGATTTAGTTTTTTTATTGATCTTGATATTTCGAATATATAATTATCAAAACCTAGGTAATGTTATAAATTTCATGCGATGTTGTTATGTAAGTTTTTTATTAATTAGTGTAAACACGTGATCAAATACTTTTGTCCAGCTAGTGTATATGACGCGTAAAAATATTTACTGGTTAATTGAGATATATTTAGAATGTATGCGTACGAAAAAATGCTAATGGTATATATTTTTAATATGGACAATAAAATAAGACGACGGATTGTTGTTTATATGTGATTAATATGGATATAAATATAAATCAACTTAAATATATAAATAAAAATTTTCTTTTTTTATTTTTGTGACACGTCTGAAAAAAAAAATTTAAATATAAAATAATTTTAAACACAAATATAACAATCCCGATACATTACAACAAGCATTATAAATAATATTTTCAGAATAACATTTTCCAGCAATTTCAAAATTGGAATCATTCTTTTTTGTTACAAGTATAAAATAAAATGGTACAATTTGGAGATTTTAGAGATATTTGTGAGATGGTTGCTTTAACTGTTTGTCCACTAGTTGGAGCAGTGGAAGGTATAGAACCAACCTGTTATTCAAGAAATGTGGAAATCGTTAAAACACTTATTTTTCAACCAGGTGACTTATTATCATTGAAAAAGTTTTTCTTTTAATTAACAAATTAATAAATCTGAACTAATAAATTTTATATCTCCCTCCCTATTTATAAAATTTAGCCACTATCATTATTCATATAATTGCATTGGTTATGACTTCTATTATGATATATCATATAAAATCAAAATATACAGCTGTTGGTAAGTAATTTCAAAGGATAAATTAACAAATTAAATTATGATAATTAATTAATTAATTGATTAATTAATTATATATAGGTCGTAAGGAAATTGTAATGTTTTTCTATTTATATATGATGGTTACATTCTTGGAATTTTTATTAGTTTCAGGAATTATTCCAACAGATCATATAAAATCAAAATATACAGCTGTTGGTAAGTAATTTCAAAGGATAAATTAACAAATTAAATTATGATAATTAATTAATTAATTGATTAATTAATTATATATAGGTCGTAAGGAAATTGTAATGTTTTTCTATTTATATATGATGGTTACATTCTTGGAATTTTTATTAGTTTCAGGAATTATTCCAACAGCATCACCAACATACCCTGTAAGTTAACAATATTTTTGTGTTATCTGTTGAGATTATATTGATTATAAATTATTTTTCTAATAAATATATCTACTCACATATATTATTAATTAGTATTTTACTGCAGCACATTTAAGTCTTATAACTACAACTTTTTGGTGTTTATTATTGAATGGATTTGTTGGGTTTCAATTTGCAGAAGATGGTACTCCATTATCGCTTTGGGTAATTACTATTAATTATTACCATTAATGATTATTATTACTGTTAATTATTATTATTGTCACATTCATTCACTCATTCTCTCTTATGCTTCTTACACTCTGATCCACTCTCACTAACCATTCAAATTTAGTCAATTCGTATTTCTTCATTGGTTGTATTTGGTGCAGTATATTTCATAAGCATTGCAACATTCAATGGCATAGCTGGATTCAGTCCATTGAGCCCAGTAGCATTATGGATCATCTTATATGTGTTTAATGGAGCAGCATTAGTGATATATGTAGTTTTACAAATTGTTTTGGTGTTGAATACACTTGATGATAGATGGCCACTTGGTGATATTTTATTTGGTATTGCATTCTATGTCATCGGACAAGTCATACTCTACATGTTCTCGGTACGCATTTGTGACACAGCAAAACATTATATAGATGGATTGTTTTTTGGTACCATTTGCACTTTGTTGGCTGTTATGATGGTTTACAAATATTGGGACTCAATTACAAAAGAAGACTTGGAATTTTCTGTTGGAAGTAAACAAAATGTTTGGGAAGTTAAAGAGTTGCTTGCAGAAGATGAATTGGCTTATAATAATCAAGGTGGTGGTGGCTATGGATATCAACAATCTCAACAACAACAACAACAACAACAACAACAACAACAACAATTGCCACAACAACAGCAACAATATGGTGCATATAATGATACAAGTTATTATCCCAATTAATTTAATAATAATCTGAAAATTAGTAAATATTATTTTTAATAATAAAATATAATTATTATTAAATATTTAAATATTTAATGATAAATCAATCTATCTATATAAAATCATATACATGTATTATTACTTTTTATTAACTATTTAATTAATTTTACTGGTGAAGAGATATTGTAATATAAATAAATCTATAAACACTATTATATTATGTATTATTATATAAACTCACCTCCCCAAAATTAACTCATTATGGCATCATCCTAATCAATTATCACAACTTGCCTTCTTTCTGTTCATAATATTGAATTCAAGTCAGGTGACTGTGATTACATAATTTTTTTAATTGGTATTCTAGAAGCAAAATTTCTTAGCTAATTTTATACATTAATTGACGATCCACGAATGAAGCAGAGAATTCTTATAGTGATCGGTGTGTGCAAAAATGGTAAAAAATCGTCAGTTGACATTGTTTAACAAATAATAAGGCACAATGTTTTGGTATTACAAACTTTATTCTTTTTATGTAATATATAAAGTAAATCTC